AGAAAATGCCCTGCCTTGACCGCCAGCGAAAAAAAACAATATGAAGCGCGGACGAGCTGCCGACACGAAAAACTCGATGCTGCTATTATCAGTGAATGATCGCCCCAACGCGTTCGGCAAGCTCTGAAATTCCAAGTCGACCAACAGTGCTGACGCGCCTGCGGCCACTTGTCTGCACATACTTTTTTGCGTCGGCGGCTGGGCAGAGTGACTGCGCTGGCGGAAAGGCATAGCGTGGCAAACGGTACGCGAATTGGGCCACCATGCAAGGGGAAGGGGAGGAGGCGCCCGGCGACGGCGGGGAGGAGGGGGAGAAGCCGGGCCAGCTCATTGTCTGCACATACACACACACATGCAGCAGAAAGACACGCACATCATGAGCCACTGTGCCTTGCCTTCTGCCCTGCGAAGATGGTGCGTCCTCAACCTTTGTCGGGAATGCTGTCGGCACTCGTCTTCTGCCAGTCGCCTTTCCACCCGCAGGCCTCAGAACGGCAGGCTCACAAGAGGCCGGCAAGCTAACAGGACGAGCGCAACAGCAAGAGCCGACACGACAGGTAACACGGCTGCGTTGCGCCGCTCGCACAGAGAAGTGAGCCATCGGAGTACCCTGGCACCGATACAAATGAAAGATACTCGCCTGGGTCCAGCATTGCTCGGCGCACTCTCCAGGGGCACGCTTGCGAATGAAGCCATCCATGCTTCACACGCCCTTGCACGGAAGATGCTGCCCCGCCGCACAGCGAGGTCGACCGCAGACAGACATGCATCGGCCTCGGCCTCGCACGTTGACGGCCCCGCTGGCCAGAAGCAAGTGTCTGATCACAAAAATATTAACATACGCTTCCGTGCGGGCGGGCTCGTGATACAGAGCATGTGCCACCTGCTCCCAACTAGTCGATTACGCCGCTGCCGTTGCGCATTCTGCTCCCACAAACCGCAAATGCGCAGAAGCAAGTCTGGAGCAGGTCCGGTGGCGCCTCGCGTCCTCGTCCTCGCCCGAGTCAGAGTCGGGGCTGGCCTGGCAGGTCCGCTGCTGTTGAAAATCCATCGTACCTCCGCATGTCGTCGTTGTCGTCGTCCCCCTTTCAGGGTCGGCGGCACCGGCCACAAGGCCTTCGCAATCCATCGTGCCTCCAAATGCATGCATGCTTGCGCCGACCTGCAGAGAATCAGCCTGGCGAAGATCCCAACCCTTTCTCAAAACGAGGCGACTATGAGCAGGACCGCGCGATGCACGAGAATACTCTGAGGGGCCTGTGGTACCTCTGGACGCTTCGCCAAAAGCGTCAAACCACACTGAGCGTAGTAGGGGTACATCGAAATGAGGCGGGTAACCACTCGGACACTGCCACTGGCCTTCGGTGGAGCTTCCTAAGGAGCTACACGACGTGTGGGGTGTGCGCCGAATTGGGGCGGGGAGCCATGTGGACACTGCCACCGGGTCCTTCGGTGGAGCTCTCTGTGGGGCCACGAAACGTGTGAGGGGTGCGCTGGAATGTAGACCCTGCCACTGGGGCCTTCGGTAGCCGAAATGGGGCGGGTAACCATGCGGACCCTGCCACTAGGGCCTTCGGCGGAGCTTCCCAAGGAGCCACAAAAAATGAAAGGGGTGCGCCGAAAGGGGGCGGGTAACCATGCAGACACTGCCACTGGAGCCTGTGGCGGAGCTCCCGATGTGGCCACGAAACGTGTGAGGGGTGCGCCGAAATGGGGCGGGCAACCATGCGGACCCTGACACTGGGGCCTTCGGTGGAGCCCCCTATGAGGCCCCGAAACGTGTGAGGGGTGCCCCGAAATTGGACGGGTAACCATACGGACCCTGCTTCTGGGGCCTTCGGTGGAGCTCCCGTATGGGGCCACGAAGCCTGTGATGGGCACGCCGAAACGGACATGCGGAACACAGAACAAGGGGAGGAGGAGGAGGAGGAGGAGGAGGAGGAGGAGGAGAAGAAGGAGAAGGAGGAGGAGGAGGAGGTAGGAAACCAGCTAAAAACCTCAAGACCCATCAATGGTATTGCAATAAACCATCTCTCCCAATTCCCTCCTCATAGGCCCCTGTAAGGGTTCAGTCTCACTGAAGGGAGTGACCCGTTGGAAGATAATCCTCGCTAATGCTGCGTGTTGACAATCCCGAACCGTGCCAAAACACATCCTGGGACTTCAACACCGCGAACCAACGTAGCTCTTGTGCCCTGACAACCCTACATCGCGTCAAAACACCATTACTGGGAAGTTAACCCTGAAAAACCTTGAACTTGCTGTGAACTCTCAAGAAGAATGTGCGCGGCGCTGAAGCGAGAACTACTCATATACATATATATATATATGTGTATATATGTATATATACATGTATATAGAGTTTCCAGACCAACCAAAAGTGGTATTATATGTATATCAATAATTGTGTACATATACATATAACTTTCATAAAATATGTAAACAAAAAAGCAATAATAATAACAACCACAACCTATATATATATATATGTTTTTTATTTGTTTAAATAATAATAATAATATTTTGAAAGAAAGCACGCTCCGCCAGTGAAACCCTAGTATTGGAAATAACACCAATAAAAGAAAAACACGAATACGCGCGGCACTAAACAAAGAACTACATGTTGAAAACGACCTGCCCTCCCTCCGTGAAGCCCATGCATTTATTGAAACGAATGCACGCGGCGCCAAAGCAAAAACCACGCTTTGAAAAGGAACCACCCTCCATCCGTGAAGTTGTTGCACTTTTCCCATCCATCCTGTGGTGCTGGGTCTTCGTTTTGACGAGGCACTGCCCCGCGTTGAACGCAGGGGAATGCCTCCCCACCCCTCCTCCTCCTCCCATCATCCCGCTGCCCTCCTCTTCCTCACGCCTCTGCGCCTGCCCTCCGCAAGTCCTCATCATCATCCCCATCATCAGCAGCATCATCATCATCGTCATCATCATCGTCATCAGCAGCATCAGCATCATCCTCCTCTCGATCCTCCTCCTCCTCGTCATCATCATCGTCAACATCAATAACAACACCACCAACACCAACAACAACAACAACACCAACAATATCATCATAATCCGCATCAGCATCATCATCAGCATCATCATATTCATCATCAACACCATAAATATCATCAGCATCGTCATCAGCATCATCATAATCATCATCACCTGCCTCATCATCATCATCATCATCATCATCAGCATCATCATCATCAGCATCATCATCAGCATTGTCACCATTGTTATTATCAGTATTATCATCATCAGCATCATCAGCATCATCATCATCATCATCAGCATCATCATTGTCATCATCATCATCATCATCATCATCATCATCATCATCATCATCATCGTCATCATCATCATCGTCATCGTCATCGTCATCATCATCATCATCATCATCAGCAGCATCATCATCATCATCATCATCGTCATCGTTATCACCATCACCACCGCCATCATCCACATCATCCCCATCGCCATCGTCAGCATCGTGCCTGTCTCTCCGCATGTGCACCATTTCGGCACACTCCTCACACGCTTCGTGGCCCCACAGGAGCTCCACCGCAGGCCCCAATGGCTGTGACCACATGCGTCCCTGCCACCCCCTTCGGAACACCGCTCACACGCTTCCTGGCCCCATAAGGGGCCCCACCGAAGGCCTCCGTGGTTATGGCCACGTGCGTTTTCGCCGCACACCCTTCACACGCTTCGTGGCCACAAGCGCCCCCGCCACCCCTTGCGGCGCGCCCCTCGCACGTGTCGTGGGCCTGCGGGGAGCTCCACCGAAGAGGACACGCACCACTGCGGCACTCACGACAGCAGATGGCTGGGCCCTTGGCTGGGATAACTAGACACACGCGCGCGGCGCTACGGCGAAAATCGTAGTTTGCAGACTCTTGTCTGCCACTGGCAGTGGCTCCATGTCGATGTCACCCGCGCTCAAAGGTTCCCCCTCCTCCTCCCCCTCACCCTCCTCCTCATCCGAGATCACAATCTTACGGAGTACACCCTGCGAAATGCTTTAGAAATCATGGGTTAAGAAATTCATACTCCCGGAACTTGAATAAAAACCCACCATGTCTATTCAAATCTTAGGATTTACATTGAAACATTAAGAATAATCGAGACTCTGGCCGAAAACTTAAGTTTTCTTAAGCATCGCCTAAGGTGTACTCCCTGTCTCGCCTGACACCTCCGCGCGGCCCGCCCTCCACCCGTGCAGCTCTTGCCAGTGTTCCGCTCAGGGATCGGAAGTGGCGCGGAAGGCTCGGGCGAAACGCCCGGCCCGCCCTGCCGAAACACCTCGGGGCGAGACAGGGAGGAACCATTTACCAAGGAGAAGGGATCGAGCAGGAGGAGAGGAAGAGCAGGAGGAGGAGGAAGGAAGGAAGGAAGGAGACGCGAGGCGCTGCGGATTCGAGCCGAAGACCCGACTCGCGGAAGGGTCCGGAAAAAATTGATGTTCCACGTTCTCATTGCAGGCTATGAAGTCTGATTCGCCACTTAGAAAATGCTGGCACTTCACATCGACTGTCCAACACGCTGGCCATCAGACCGACTCTAAAACTGATCGACCCCCGAACCTGGAAAGGGAGTTGGAACTGCGAGGCATGAACACGGTTCCAAGCATCCCAATTTGGCGATGGGCAGCAGCAATGCTGAAGATATAAATTGTGATGCTACTGTACCAGGGGCTGTGTTGTGCTGTTCTGCGCTGTGCCGCGCCGCACAATGACGAGCCAGGGGACGCGCCACGGAACGTGCCAATAGACGTGCCAAGGGTCGTGACAGGGAACGCGACGCGCGATGTGCCAGGGGGACGCGCCACGAGACGCGCCACGGAACGCACCAGGCGGACGCGCCACAGAACGTGCCAGCGGACGTGTCAGAGGACGTGCCAGGGGACGCGCCGCGCGACGTGCCCACGGACGCGCCACAGAACGTGCCAGGGAACGTGCCCGAGGGGCACGATCCTTCGTAAATTTCACGGCGTTCGCACTCCCAGGACCAAGATCCTTCGTAAATTACTCTGTGTCCGCGCCCGCAGGGCAGCGTCGGACGCCAGACGCAGGTTGATATCCCCTCCGCGCGCGCATTTTCACATGCGAAGAAGCCGACGACATCCTGTTGGATATTCCCTTGGGCGCACTTTCCTTGAGCGGGCACGCACGGCATGAATTTCTTCAACCAGGAATATGCCTCCTGTACCCTCCTGGTGCCTCCTGCGGCCTCCTGTGGTCCACTGGGGCCGCCTTGGGCCTCATGGCGCATCCTGGGTCCTCCTAGGGTTAAGTCGGGCCTGTCCCTCTACAGCGGGAATATTCGAAAATAGTTTTAAAAAAATAATATGGGGACTAGCTTTTGAATATGTTTGGGGCATTTTTGAAAATGTGTTCCCAACCATCCTGTGGTGTTGGGTCCTCGTTTTGAAGAGACGGTGCCCCGCGTTCCTCTCCTCTCCTCTCCTCTCCTCTCCTCCTCTCCTCTCCTCCTCTCCTCCTCTCCTCTTCACCCACCCAGTACACCGTTTCGTGGCCCCATAGGGAGCTCCACCGAAGGCCCCAGTGCCCGCGCCCGCATGCGTCACCCACACCCATTTCGGCACACCCCTCACACGTTTCGTGGCTCCATAGGGAGCTCCACCGAAGGCCCCAGTGCCCGCGCCCGCATGCGTCACCCACACCCATTCGGCACACCCCTCACACGTTTCGTGGCCCATAGGGAGCTCCACCGAAGGCCCCAGTGCCCGCGCCCGCATGCGTCAGCCACACCCATTCGGCACACCCCTCACACGCTTCGTGACTCCATAGGGAGCTCCACCGAAGGCCCCAGTGCCCGCGCCCGCATGCGTCACCCACACCCATTTCGGCACACCCCTCACACGTTTCGTGGCTCCATAGGGAGCTCCACCGAAGGCCCCAGTGCCCGCGCCCGCATGCGTCACCCACACCCATTTCGGCACACCCCTCACACGTTTCGTGGCTCCATAGGGAGCTCCACCGAAGGCCCCAGTGCCCGCGCCCGCATGCGTCACCCACACCCATTTCGGCACACCCCTCACACGTTTCGTGGCTCCATAGGGAGCTCCACCGAAGGCCCCAGTGCCCGCGCCCGCATGCGTCACCCACACCCATTTCGGCACACCCCTCACACGTTTCGTGGCTCCATAGGGAGCTCCACCGAAGGCCCCAGTGCCCGCGCCCGCATGCGTCAGCCACACCCATTTCGGCACACCCCTCACACGTTTCGTGGCTCCATAGGGAGCTCCACCGAAGGCCCCAGTGCCCGCGCCCGCATGCGTCACCCACACCCATTTCGGCACACCCCTCACACGTTTCGTGGCTCCATAGGGAGCTCCACCGAAGGCCCCAGTGCCCGCGCCGCATGCGTCACCCACACCCATTTCGGCACACCCCTCACACGTTTCGTGGCTCCATAGGGAGCTCCACCGAAGGCCCCAGTGCCCGCGCCCGCATGCGTCACCCACACCCATTTCGGCACACCCCTCACACGTTTCGTGGCTCCATAGGGAGCTCCACCGAAGGCCCCAGTGCCCGCGCCCGCATGCGTCAGCCACACCCATTTCGGCACACCCCTCACACGTTTCGTGGCTCCATAGGGAGCTCCACCGAAGGCCCCAGTGCCCGCGCCCGCATGCGTCAGCCACACCGGCACACCCCTTTTCGTGGCTCCATAGGGAGCTCCACCGAAGGCCCCAGTGCCCGCGCCCGCATGCGTTTCGGCACACCCCTCACACGTTTCGTGGCTCCATAGGGAGCTCCACCGAAGGCCCCAGTGCCCGCGGCCGCGCGTCACCCACACCCATTTCGGCATTCACACGCGTTCCATTTCGGCAGCGTGGCTCCATAGGGAGCTCCACCGAAGGCCCCAGTGCCCGCGCCCGCATGCGTCACCCACACCCATTTCGGCACACCCCTCACACGTTTCGTGGCTCCATAGGGAGCTCCACCGAAGGCCCCAGTGCCCGCGCCCGCATGCGTCAGCCACACCCATTTCGGCACACCCCTCACACGTTTCGTGGCTCCATAGGGAGCTCCACCGAAGGCCCCAGTGCCCGCGCCCGCATGCGTCAGCCACACCCATTTCGGCACACCCCTCACACGTTTCGTGGCTCCATAGGGAGCTCCACCGAAGGCCCCAGTGCCCGCGCCCGCATGCGTCAGCCACACCCATGTCGGCACACCCCTCACACGTTTCGTGGCCCCATAGGGAGCTCCACCGAAGGCCCCAGTGCCCGCGCCCGCATGCGTCAGCCACACCCATGTCGGCACACCCCTCACACGTTTCGTGGTCCCATAGGGAGCTCCACCGAAGGCCCCAGTGCTGCCGCCCGCATGCGTCCCGCACACCCATCCCCTTCACACGTTTCTTGGCCCTATAGGGAGCCCCACCGAAATTGGTAGTGTCAACTGCGGTATTCACACCTGCACATGGTTGGGTCCTTCGTCAGGCTGATTGGATCTGCTTTATTTTTCGTCCAAAACCCCCCTGTATGGGGACAGGCCCGACCTAGTCCTAGGGCTCTGGGGCCTCCTCGGCTCTCCTGAAACCTCCTGGGGCCTCCTGGGGCCATCCGGGACCTCCTCGTGCCTCCTGGCCCTCCCGAAGCTTCCCGGAAGCCTCCCTGGAAGCCTCGCGAGGCCTCCTCCGGGGCTTCCTGGGCCCCGCTGGGCCCGAGGCCCTGCTTGGGATGCCCCCCGCTGGGCGGCCTGGACATGCAGGAACACACGCGGTCCCAGCTCGGGGCAGCACGGTCAGACCCCCGCCTGGGCGGCCTGGACACGTAAGGACAAGGTTCCAGCTCGGGGCAGCCCTGCTAGGAGCCCCACTGTGACAACACGTGGCCCCCGCTCGGGACAACGGTGCGAGATACCCCTTCTGGGTGGCATGGACACGAGAAAACACGTGGTTCCAGCTCGGGGCAAACATGTTCCTTAGCCCTCTGGGCGGCCTGGACACGCAAAAACACGTGTCAAGTACACGGGCGCCAGACGCATGTGTGATAGCCCCTCCGCGCACATAATATTACGTGTGAAGACGCCGACGGCCTCATGTTAGATATCCCCCGGGCGCACGTTCCTAGAGCTGACACGCACGGGATGCACTTCTTCGACCAAACAATGTCCCGCACCCTGTGATGCGTGGACGGAATTTCAAAAACCAACGTTTCACCTGAGGTGTCCCTCAAAATAATCAGCCGGCCTCCTTCGACTTCGTTATTGGTCAATGAAAGAATCCGCTAACATCCTTCAGCAGGGGCACCCGGAACAATGGAAAACACCTAAAAAAGAACCCTGGTCCCACGCCCTTCCGGGGAAACCTCTAAAAACATAACACGGCCAAGAGCCCGACCCTCTCTCAAAACGAGGCGACTATGAGCAGGACCGCTTAGCGCAGGAGAATACTGCGAGGGGCCTATGGTACCTCTGAACGTTTCGCCACAAGCGTCAACGTATTAGGGGTGCACCGAAATGAGGCGGGCAACCATGCGGACCCTGCCACTGGAGCCTTTGGCGGAGCTCATGGGGCCACGAAACGTGTGAGGCACGAAACGGGGAGGTAAGCATGCGGACCCTACCACTGGGGGCTTCGGTGGAGCTCCCGATGGGGCCCCGACAGGTGAGTGGTGCGCCAGACTGGGGCGGGTCATCGTGCGGACCCTGCCACTGGGGCCTGCTGCGGAGTTCCCGATGGGGCAACGAAACGCGCGAGGCGTGCGCCGAAATGGGGCAAGTATCCATGCGGACCCTGCGACTGGGGCCTTCGGTGGGCCTCCCTACGGGACCACGAAATACAGGTTGAAGCGCCGCCCACCTCAGCAGCCATAGGGTGCGCAAGCGTAAAATGTGAAGCACGTTTCCTGAGATGCCGCATTAATGTGCAATGTGGTGGTTGCTCGCTCGCTCGCACGCACGCACGCACGCTCGCTCGCTCGCTCGCTCGCTCATCCTCCTCCTCCTCCTCCTCCTCCTCCTCCTCGTCTTCCTCCTCCTCCTCTTCCTCCCTCATCCGCCTCCTCCTCTTCCTCCTCCTCCTCCGTAATAGAGGAAGGACTCGAGTGCGAGCCTCAGTTCACGGATAAAGTCCCGACGGCATTAGCTTCTCCCTGGGTGGTACAGGTGGTCTGGAATCTGGAGTTTGCCTCGGAACGTCTGGAATACTATGCCATGGATAAGCTATTTTCGGACTTACGCATTCTAGCAGACATTGAGGCGGTTCAGGACGTTGGAAAAGTCGAGCTCACGGAGCTCAGGGACAGGGAGCTCGGGGCGCACATTCCTCCTTCAGGTGTACGTATGTGTACAGCAGCTACTGACACACAGGTGAAAGGCGAGGTGGAGACCATGGGGATGGAGGGGGAGGGCAAGTACAAATGCAAGACTGTAGACGGTAAAGGATACAGTGCCGTCTGCAACGACCGCAAAGAAAAGTTAACCATATGTGTGCACACCATTATGTACAAAACCTTCCTGTCGTCCTTCCGCCATGCAAGTCGTGTATACACTTTAGGCAACCGCTGCACGACATGTATTTGGGTCGACTCTTCTAGGAAACTGCTCGACGAGGGGGCCAACTTCATTGACAGCTTTGATCCCCCCAAATACGTATGATTGCTCAGTGCACGACTAGAGGGTGAGGATTGGGATGTTCGCTGCGGCCATGCATGCTCACACCACATTGAAGCTGCAGCCTCATCGCCAACGGCCCCCCCACGAGAGGGAACTTCCCAAGCCAATTTGGGAGGCCACGCCACAACGCGCGACGCCGTCGTGGTTCAACCCCGCGCAGGCGCGCAGATCCGAGGGCGACGACGAGGACGGCCGCAAGCAAAAGGCGCTGAAGGGCGGGGACGGCAAGATGGACGCGGGCTAGCACGGCAAGCCCCTGATGTTCGCAGCCCGTCTTCTCTTGGCTACGACACGCGGCATGGCCGACCTCGCAGCGGCGGTGCGCATCACGTTCGAGATGAGCGCGGCGCGGGGCTTCAAAGCGCTCGCAGCAGCAGGCAAAGCGCACGACGGCAAGAGCAGGGAGTTGGCAGACCGCGCGAAAGCAGGCGAGCAGATCGGTCAGGGTTCACATCGCGGGCGAGGGCCGCCCCACCTCCACGTCTGCGTAGCAGGGGCGCACTACATCGCGACGAGTCAGCACGCCGAAAGGGGGCACAGCAGAGAAGGGGAAGCAGCCGAGAACGGACGATGAGGAGTTCTGCATCGACACGGTGGCCACAAGCAACATCCGGAAGCTGGGGGTCGCAATGAAGTACGTCCGCCTCAAGATACCGGGAAAGATCGAGTCAGACCAGCGCTGCTGCTTGGTCACCATGCTCTTCGATGTGAACAACTTGATCGGCCAGCGGGGCCAGGACCTCTTCGCGCGGATCCTGGAGACCGAGGGGGCAGAGAGGCTTCGCGGCGACGTCCCACCGGGCCCATTGGAGCGCGAGATGTCTTCGGCAGCGAACAGCAGATGGCATGGCAGAGTAGTGGGGGATTTGCAGCTCTAGTAGGGCGTGGTGTTCTTTCATCAGATGTAGCAGCACGAGTGTTAGCAGGGGGCGCAGCATGCCATCATTGCATGCACAGACATAGCTCCCAAATATCCCAACTGCGGGTGTCCGCTGAAACCCCCGAAGACTCCGTGACATTTGAGACTGCACGACTCTGACGAGAGAAAGATCAAACCCCTCCACTCCTGAAAGCAGGCCAACCAGCACCCTTCCCCGAACCAGCATGGTTATGGAAAGGGGTCCGATGGTAGCTGAGCTGGCACTAGCACTGCGAACGCACGCTGACCTTTCAGATTCACACTGGTCGGAGTCCACTGCTCAGAACCCGATGAGTTCCTCGAACCCATTGATTCCTGCATCCGGTGTCCTATCGTCATGTTGGCATAAGCCACCTGAGCCTCGCGTAAATCGACGGTTCGCCTCAAGCTCGCCGTTCTGGTCATCGTCCTCGAAAACTTGTTCGCCTCCGCCTGCACAGTCCATCTCGTCGGGGCCCAGCCCCGTGAAACAACACTCCGCGGCACAGGCAAAGGAGGTGGCCCCCTTCTCCGTTTGCGGCCCCGCTCGTGGATGTAGCACCGCACAGTCGGAGGTGATGCCGTACTCGCCGAGGTCCAACGCGCGTCGAAGTAGCGCGCCCCCCCCGCTGCGATTTGCCAGGGGGTCGGCGGGTTGACTCGCGCCCTCCATCCATCGAAGATAGAACTGCGAGCGATGCAAGGCCGAGCGCACGATGGCCACGTCGATGGCCGCACTCGTCGCCCGCCAAGCCTGCCTCGGGGTCGGTGAAATTGTCGCGGCCGCCTCTAGAGCCGGTGACACGCATGACTGGAAAACGGCCCGCTAGCAGATAGGGCCTCAGGGGGCCAAACTCAGGTTCCACGATCTCGAGCAACATGGCGCTGAAAAACACTGCCATTGCCACGCCATCGAAATTGCCGGCGCCTCCGCACCAAACTGGTGAACACATTTTTCTTCAACTTGTGGCTCGTCCAGAGCTGGATGGAGATGATGGCCGCCTCGCCCCTCGGGATCTTCTGGCTCGCAGCGAACACGCGGCCCGCCTGCGAGGTTCCATCCCCGGCGCTGGCCCAGGCGGCATCGTCGAGAGCAAAGGAGGCCAGCCCGCGGAGGGGGGTGCGCTTCATTTGCAGCGCGACACCGCAGAACTCCTTGGTCGCACGTCCTACCCCGTTCGCCCCCAGTAGGTCGCCCACGCAGGGATACGGGGCCTGACAGGTCAGGTCGACTCTCTTGGACCAGAAAGAAAATGGACCCGCGCAAACTCCTGGCCTAGTGGAGATTAGAAAGCGCCACTTGAGCTCGAGGGCCCCCACGTCGCTCCGTCGCTATGTTGGTCAGCTGGATGGCCGGCGGGCCCCGACTCAGGGATGCCGCGAGCTCCGCGCCACCCTCGTTCTGCACCAACTCTTTGCCAGTGTACTTGCACTTATTGTGGCGCCCGGCCCCGAATGGGGACCTCCTGCGCAGCTTCTGGCAAGTCTCCTCGAACTGCCCGTCGCCTCCGCCCACGACGTCATCCACTGCGAGGCCCATGATCCCATGCAAGCCTTTCCAGTCTATCAGGTAGAGGACACGGCCATCGAACATGGAACACTGGAAACCAATCTCTTTGACGTAGTTTGTAAACGAAGACAGCCACTGGACTAGGGCATCTCCCAATCCGTAGACAGCCTCGAGCAGCTCGACCAGCAAGCCCGTCTTAATTTCGGGCATGCCAGTCCGAGGGGGGCTCACATACAGGCCGCCCTGCGCCATCTGGGGGGGTCGCCAACCGCGAGAGCGGAAGCCATGTCGGCCAGCTGGGGCCTCGACTTGCTGGCGCACAGAATCAGCAAAATGAGGATGACCGAGCCCGTGCCGACCACGGGGCCGCGGGTCTCCAGCTCGAGCAAGTCGGGGTCGCAGCGGCCCGGAACTGCCCAACTTTCCCTGGCCATCCTCCAGGCACCGCCGTCCTTGACAAAGGAGCAGCTTCTTGCTCGCGCCGGCGCCCTCGGGGTCGCCGCCCTTGCCCGCCACCGCCCGCCTGGACGCCATGACGCGACAAGCGAGCACGGGACCTTAACGAACAGCACCCGCTTCTCCGGGAAGTACGACTCGCGCGGCGTCGGCTCACAAGACGTCGCCCCACGCGCGTCGCTTGGCCGAGATGTAGATCGGGGACTTGTAGCTATTCGCAGAGGCCTTTTCGGTGATTCCCCCCCCTCCCACGTTGGGCTGCGGTCTCAGGGGAGGCGCCCACTGGCGCTGCATCCTTGCCCTTGCCCTTGCGACTCTTCTTCTCGGGTGGTCCTTCGGCGCCCTGCTGGACTCCTGCTCGACGTTGGCGGCCCCCTGCGCCACTGGCATCGCGGGCGCTGGCTTGCCCGCGTTCTCCTCGATAGCGATGCGCTCGTCATCGAGGCAGCCGCAATGCTACGTCCACGGGCATTGGGTCTGCCTCGACGACAGTGGAACGCTCGATCTCCATAGTCGGCGGCTGCCAAGAGGATGATGGTTAATCCTCCTCAGCAGGTTCAGGAAGAGCTGCACTGGGAACGGCCTCTTCGGCTTAGTCAGGAGGTGTCTCTTAGCGGGCGAGGTCCTCGCACTTGCGCCTGCCGCGGTTCTCGGCGCGAAGGCCCGCCTGCATCGAGCTACCATCCTCGTCGGCACGGCGAAGTTGCTCAGGGGAGCGAAACCAGACCGCGCCCGGCAACTCCGCCTGGACAACTCGAGCTGGGCCACGCCAAGAGCTGGCAGGTAGCTCGCGGGCACTACACTCCTCCAAGAGTAACAAGAGTAACACCGATCTCACGGTCGAAAAGCGGCCCCGCGAGGTGGTCGAGTCCCCCCGTTGAATGCACTGCGCCACTTCTCTCCCAATGTAGGCCGCGAGAGCTGCTTTCCGCATGTCAATGCTCACGGCGAGCTCGGCGCCTCCGCCCATGGCCCCCGATACCGTCGCGAGGCTGGGCGGCCCCTCCTCTGAGATCTCCCCCAGTAGCCCGAAGGGTCTGCCGAAGACCCGCCGCTAGGGAACGAACCTCCCCTTCTGTGCACTCTCGCCAAGGCGACGTTGACCGAGTCCACGCGGTCGAAGAAGTCGCCCCAGTGGTCGACGTTGAACTCTATCTGGCACGGTAGAAAATCTCCTCCCAGGCACCTCCAGCTCGCTCGGTCTTGCCCGCCAGCCACGGAGAGGTCGCACTCGCCACCTTTTCCTCGGTGCCGTCACGTTCGGCTGCGTCAGTAAGCTCGCCCACTGAGAAACCCTTCTCGCCGTCAGCCACGATGATCCAAGGCGCCCCATGCACTCGTTTCCAAAAAGCCCGATATTGACGTCAGATTCGGCGCCCATTTCTGCACGGAAGTGGCACCACGATATTCTGGCCCGTCCCGTAGCAGAGCACATTGGGCACGGGTACCTCGGCGGTGCTCGGGGCCGAGCACGAGGAGGATGTCCATCCCGATGACGTCGTTGAACTGTAGCTGGAGCCTTGGATGGTTTTGCCAACCTCGGACGCCGGTTGCTCTCGCAACTCGTACACACCAGGTGCTGGGCGGCCTCGATGAAGGCCTGGCAGGCCTTGCCACACTTCAAAACATGACGAGATCTCCGTTGCTGCAGTGGCCCATACTCTCGCGAATGTCCTGCACCTGCTGCTCGACTTGAAGGTCGGAGCCCCAGTCGCCCCCGCCCTTCGCCACTGAGGCGGCGCGGCACGGGGCGCGGACCAGGTCGATGTTGACCCGTCCGATCTCTTGGATATCCTGGTCGACAACGACCTTCTTCTCCTTGACCTCGGCGCGGACCAAGGCCCCTGCAAGCTCATGCACAGGCCCAGGCATGTCTCCAAGCCCCTTTTTATCGAAAGCGTTGAATCACTCCTGACTCAGCAGCTCCCTAAGCTCATCGGATGTCCTAGGCAAGTCGGGCAAACAGCGGTGCCCTCTCGCATTGGCCTTCTCAGAACGTACCTCGGGCAGCCTGCCGATGCCCTCCCAGTCGCGGGAGTCCTCGCCCTGCTCGCAGTAGAAGTACCTGCCGTTGATCGCCTGCTCGATGACCACGTCTGACACGAGGGTCAAGCCCCTGCCGACATTATCCGTGAGCTCGCGGTTATAGACGCCCCTGGGCGGCCCATGAGGACCAGCAGCGGCCCGGCGTCCACGACGGCGCTCCAAGCCTCGCGCTGGCCCCCCATGGGAGAGCATGCGTTGTCCAGTAAGCACTGGCACGTGCCACAGAGCGGTCGCGTCCAACCTCGATGCCCCGCGGTCCTCGTTTTGCTGGTCGATCGCGCCCGCGAGTCCTCGAGTGTCTCTTCGAACCCAATGAGAAAGGCTTATCTCTCTGGCATAGCTGCTCCAACTGCCGCGAGAAGGGCCTCCTGCTCCACCTCCTTCCTCAGGGGGGTTCGATCATCCTCATCTCCTTCTCGTTGAGCTCGCCCCGTCGTCGCCGAGGTCCGCCCCCGAGGTGGCGACGCATGTCCTCGACCCGAGAGAGCGCCCGTCGCCTCGATGGCGTTCTCGTCCTTCATGAGCTCCCCCAGGGCCGTCAAGGTCATGCTGCGCGGCGATTCCTCCTCGACGTCCAGCTTCTCCCAGCTCGCACGCCCGCTGCTTACAGGCACCCTCTGCCGACGCTGGAAGCCTCGTCCGTGATGCCTGTCGCGGGATCGTCTCGGTCCCTGACGTCGCCCCGCTGCTTCTCGTCGCCGTCTCGGTCTCCTTGGTAGCCTCATTGTCGAGGCCCGTCTTGGCCCTTGCCTTCCAGCCCTTAACCTTCGCCCCCGGGCCCCTGCACGCGTTGGGGGTCGCAATCACCTCTTGCATTCCTGGGGCCGTCCTTGGGCGGCGCTCCGACCGTAGCTTACGGTCGTTGCACTGGGCGTAGAAGGCCTTCGCATGCCCGCTGCGATTGTAAAATTCACGCAGGCAGCTCGTCTCCTTCGTAGGGTCGTGGCCCCTGGCCCGCAGCCCGACCGCTGGTATCTCGGGGCCTCGGTTGGGCACGTCGAAGTACCGACACTATGACCCCCGTCGGTGGCAGGGCTTCGTCGCTGATCTCGTGGCAGGGCCACTTGGGAAGCGCACCTGCCGCCCTGCCCCTTCTCCGATGTCCTGCGTTCTCGCCCAGGTTGGCACCCTGCCCCCAGCCGTCGTCCACGCCGCGCCCCCCGCCGCCGATAGGGTCGGTCCGCGCAACGAGGAAGGCCGCGAGAGCCGAGTAGAGGGACTCAGGAGCTCGTCGCACGACACGAAGATATGGACATAACTTCGACCGTCTGAGTCTGGATGTCGAGCTCGAACCGGACAGACCACACTTATGGTTCGGGTTGCTACCGACGCTGTTTATCCAGAGCTCGCCACTGCTGCCAGTCGTTGAGCTGCTTCGCCTGGCCGATGATGCTGCATATGTTGGTCGCGCCGCGAGTGTTGACGTGGCCGGGCTCGTTGTTGCCTTCGCTTAGCTTGCAGAACTTGCTGACATGCCTCCTCATCTCCCCGATCCTCGGCCCCGTTCTGCCCCACGAAGCTCTTCCTGATCCTGGCAGTAGTCCTGCTACTAGTGCTGCTTATTGTCATGAACTCGCTTCTGCCCTTCGTGGACCCCTCGTCGCCCCTGTTCTGCACCTCCAGCTGTCTCGAACGCCTATCAGCACACAGTCCTTGCATTCAGCGCATACGCACTGGTTTGTGCTGATAGATGCCGAGGGATGCTCACGCTCGGACCTGACTCCATAATCCATGGAGATCTCCTTCGCGCACGGGGCCCAGCTGGCAAGCCCAATCCACGGCATCGCGAGGTTGCCCAGCTGCAGCACAAAGCGCCCCCCGCCAGCGCGTGCCAGAGGGAGCCGAATATCCTGCTCAGGCAAGTCTAGCTCCGACTGAAAGGCGCGCAGCGAAGCCTCCAACTCCACCACGAACGTCTTGGACAGGAGCAACGGAGCTGCACCCTTGACTAGGCACGCGAAGACGACGCCAAAGTAGTTCCCCAATCTCACGGGGGCGACGACGCCCTCGGTCGCCGCGCACACCCGGTCGCTCCCGAACCTGCACTTCTTATGGATTGGGAATCGCAAGCAGCGTGCCGTCGCGCTGCTCCTCGCATTGTTTCTCCCACTTCGTGTAGGCGCCGATTCCCAGCATGTAGAAGCTGCAGGCCGCGTCCACAGCCCCCCATTCAGGCCCACCTAATTTCCCGATGTCGATCGTCATAGTGATGTGCTCGACTAGGTTCGACCTGGATGCCAGCTTCGCATCCGTCGCGACGCACCTGCATATCTCATCGTCCTCGAGCACCGCCATGGCCGCAAAACCTCCCGCGGGCGTGGCCGCCTTCTTCGGATTGACATGACAGGACACTCGCGATGCCAGTGTCCCAGCCCTTTGCAGATGCCACACGCGGTCCGCTTCTTGATCGCCGCGATCGACTCCTCGACCTTCTAGCAACCCGTGGTGGTGGCAAAGCCTCGCTCGGCCCGCTTGTCGGCCACGATCTTCCTGGTTTCGCCCCGCGCCCGCGGCTTCGACGGTGGCGGGATAATGGCCGCCAGAAAACTCAACGCGCTGGCCTCCGTCAAGATCTTCGCGTCATCCGCGTGGCCCTGGCCGTCGTGCCCGCTGTCGTCATCAATACCCAGCAGGTCGGCCATCGCCGCCATTCCCCTGAGAATCGAGACGAGCTCGTTAACATTGTAGCCGTAGCCCGTCTGCATGAATACCTGATTGCGCTCGACCGCTGCTAGTCCAGCCCCCCGTAGTAGCAAGAAACCAACGACCGTGTCGCTCAACGCACTTGGCAGGAGCCTCTCGGGTTCTTCCTGTTATGGCCGCATCCTGCTGGGGAACGTCATCAATGATTCGTCCCTGGCGCGAGGCGCGGAGAAGAGGGTCTTCTCGAGCTGCTGGAATGTCTCCGAATCGGCCTCTGGGAACGCCAGGGTGTCCAAAACTAGAACAACTGCCTGCAATCCTTTTGGGTGCTGAACAGATCCTGGGCAACGGTGCCTCGACGCCGTCGCTGCTTCCTTCGCTAAATGCTGTAACGTCGCCCCCCGCTCCTCAGATGGTACTGCCGTGAGCCTGCTACATCTATATATATATATATATATATATATATATCGCTAATTGCTTCTCGGGCCACTCGCTGAGGTCCTTGCCGTCCCAAGCAGGGCATGGGGGATATTGATTTGTTCTTCCTCCGCTTCGATGGTCGTGTAGGTCGTAGTCGTATCCCGCCGCCTGCCTCACCAACACCTCGTCAACATTCAGCTTGGCCTGCCCATGCGTACCGGACCCTCTAACCGTGCTGATGGATCTGATCCAAACTCGGACCATCTATCGAACATGCGCCTCTCCAAAGAGAGGCCCGAGCCTTCGCACTCCTCGCCTGGCCGATCCCAGGCTCCAAAACTAGAGTACCTTCCGCTCCATGTTCGGTCCCACGATGTAATTGTTCTCTCGCTGGTTCCGCCGTGCTCAAAAATCACAGGAGTCTGCTGTCGAACCGTGCTGCTGCTCGTTTATTTTCACTCTCCGCCTCACGGGTGTCGGTCTCGATGGCTCTGGGCAGTCGTCATCCTCCACAGTTTCCCACGTACCGACCTCGAGACCGTAGTCGTCGCCGTCGCTCCGCTTACCACATGTGGGTGTCCGCTGGGACCCCTGAAGACTCTGTGATCTCTGGGACTGCACGCCTCTGAAGAGAGAGAGAGACAGATCACAAACACCTTTTCAATACAACATGCTGCACCCCTGGAAGGGGGCCAGCCGGCCCCCTTCCGTGAACCAACATGGTTATGGAAAGGCGGTCGGGTTCTAGCTTAGCTGGCACAAGCACTGCAAGCGCACGCTGAGCTTTCAGATTCACACCAACTGTAGTGCTGCCTCGCCGAGGCTCTGGTCGAGGGAGGGAGAGGGCGGCGAATGGGGGGCGGGGGAGGGGACCAGCACCGACTGGCGAGAACCGGCAGAAAGAGCAGAGCAGCTGAGCTATGCTGTCTCCCGTGCCGTCCAAGTCGGCCCTCATCCGAGGTTGCGTGCCTTCGAGGTGCCGACAGGCCAGTGCCTCCCTTGAGGAGGGTGACCTGAAGACGTACTTTAAAAATCTTCGTGAGGGTCGAAGCTACCCCAGTCCCAGAAATCCCGTGCACAGCTGGTGTTGGTTCCAGACAGTGGTGGATTCCATGGGCCCGTCTCGTATCGTCTCCTCGTCCTCCTCCTTTCCCTCCTCCTTTCCCTCCTCCTGCTCCTCCTCCTCCGCCTCCGCCTCCGCCTCCGCCCCCTCCCCCTCGTCTGCCCCAGGGCAACCACAGAGCCATACGCCCGTCAGGACCCGCCCCTGCCCCTCCCCCGCCCGGGGGCGGGCCTGCTTGGGCGCGAAGGCGGTGGACTGGCGCCCGCGCGTGGGCCGCAGCGGGGCGGCAGCTTCCGCATCGCCCTCCTCCTCGACCTGCCGGGCGGTGAGAGCAGAAAGGAGGAGGAGGAGGAGAAAGAGGAGGAGGAGAAAGGGGAGGAGGAGGAGGAGGAGGAGGAGAAAGGGGAGGAGGAGGAGGAGGAGGAGAGAGGAGAGGAGGAGGAGGAGGAGGAGGAGGAGGAGGAGGAGGAGGAGAGAAGGGAGGAGGAAGAGGAGGAGGAGAAAGGGGAGGAGGAAGAGGAGGAGGAGGAGGAGGAGGAGGAGGAGGAGGAGGAGGAGGGGGAGAGGGAGGAAGAGGAGGAGGAGGAGGAGGAGGAGGAGGAGAAGGACGAGGACGAGGACGACGAGGACGACGAGGAGGAAGATCACGGTCTGGGAGCGTGTCCTGACACGCTATAAGCCCGGGGAGGCCTCCAAGACCTCCGCCAGAACTTCCCACGTGCATGTGGAGGCTTCTGGAGACCTCCCCTCCGCGACCCGTCGGGTTGGAGGTCAAGACAAGACAAGACGAGAACCGATGCGAGCCAAGTCTCGGAGTGCTCGGATGGCAGCTACTATGACTCGCGGATGCAGAGACTGCGCCTGCCAGCGGCTACCGCTGGAGGGACGGCCCTCTCCGGCCGACGGCGGTACCGCCACGAGGGAGAGGCCGAGCTGCCCGCACTGTGAGGTCGAGGCGCTAGGGAGGCGGATCCGAACGGGGGCAAGCGAAAACGGCGAGCTCGAAGAGACTCGAGGGTACCTCTGCGGGCACTGGCCACCGCTCGGACGTCCATTTCACGTGCGCTGTTCGATTTCGCGCGCGTGTCTTCCCCACGAGGATCCCAGAGGCCTCCTGGATGGGCCGCATCGATAATGCATCGCCAATGCATCGTCGATGCATCGCTGACGTCGGCGACGCTTCGGCGACGCATCGGCGACGTCGGCGTGGCGAAAATCGGGATCCACACCGAGTCGCATCGGCGATGCATCGGCGGCGACGCGGCGCGATCCTCTGGCCCCATCTAGGAGGCCTGGAGATCCAGAATGCTC